AGTTGTCTTGCCACTGTAGATCGGGGTAAGCTGACCTTATGCTTTCTGGCTCTACTTTGTGCTTTACTAGAGCCCTGAAGTCTACCAGCCAGAGCCAGGTGCAAATTGAAGTTCAAGAAGGCAGAAATAAGACTGCTAAAGATACATCAGATTACATATTTCTCTCCAGAATGTGTTTTCTATTCCAAAGCTAGAAGTTGCAGACAAATTCCTTTACATACAAATTTACTCCAGTTTTCCTCACAAGTTTCCTTGATTTTAGTAGCCTAATTTGGGATGCAAAACAAGTTTTTTGTTTGTTTGATTATTGTTAAACCGCTGGGCCTTGCTCACCAATTGCATATCACTTGGTGAGCTACACCCAATCTACTTTCTTCCACCTATCTTGTATATCAGGGTGTGAAACCTTTTGTCATCTGGATGCTTCTGACTATAACTTTCACAATTCCTTATCATGTTGAATGGTGCTGAATGGAGATGCAAGCCAAAACATCTGCAAAATCTATGCAGGCTATATATGCAGACTAAAGGTTTGCCAGCCTTCCTATAGATAATATATGGTTATGTGTTGGTCTAAATGAATCAAGCTGGGGGAAAAAGAAGCACAAGGTATAGCAGCAAGGTCTTATCTGTTATGTGAAAGACGTAAGAAGTAAGCAATTCTTACTTAGGTCTGATTTAAAGTGACATACCTTCCAACATTTCACTTTGAACTTGATTTACAACAACTGAAGTAAGCTGTGGACAAAGAAGGAAAATGGGAAGAGGGGAGAGAAAATGGGGATTTTTTAAAAATAGCAAATTAAAAAGTAAGTTGGAAGACAATTAACTGGGACTGTCCCAGCCAAACTGGAATAGTTGTAGGGTATAAACTAATTCAGCATGGTGTAGTGCAGGGGTAGGCAACCTTTCCCCTTTAAGGGCCGAGAGACTTCAGCTCCCAGAATCCCAGGAGCTATTGGCCAACATGAGACTATTGGCCAACATGGCTGAGGCTTCTGGGAGCTGAAGTCCCCTGGCCCTTAAAGGGGAAAGGTTGCCTACCCCTGATGTAGTGGTTTGAGCATTCAACTGTGACTTTGGAGAACAGGATTCGAATGCCCACTTGGCCATGAAACTCACTCAGAGGATGGCAATGGAAAACTCTGAACAAATCTTGCCAAGAAAACCTCATGATAGGTTCACCTTAGAGTCGCCAAGTCAGTAATGACTTGAAGGCACACAACAACAACTTCCATTATATTTTTAATATTTTTAATATGCATCATTTCCAGATAAGAAGTTGTGTGAGCTGCCCTAAGAATGTTGCTTTTTCTCTGTTTTGATCAGACATCTAATCTTTCTACATGGAGACGTTTGGGACTGTCAACCCTATCTGCCCTGACCACACCAGATGGGGCTGATGGAGTTGTGATCCCAAACATCTGGTGGACTTCAGGTTAGGGAAGGCTGTTTTACATTATCTGCTCCCTCCCCCTGGTTATAGACTGGAATGGCATAAGTGTATCCAAACATAATTTGCAAGCTAGTCTCAACTTTTTTCTTCTTGGTAATGTGTATGCCACCCAGGAAGCTTTGGGCAAGCTTTGCTAATGTGTACCTGCTTCCCCCTTCTCATTTGGACCCCATCTAGGAATTGCCTAGGATGAAGCAGTAGGATACTACAAGAATGGCATAGTCCACTGCTCTAACTGAATTAGAGGTCCCCTTGCCCAATTTAGACCACAGCTTGTTTTAAAAATATCTGAGGCCACTTAAAGCAAAAGTAGAACATTGTGCACTAATAAAAGGAAAAATTAAAAATAAAGTGGCTGACATAACATTCAGGCTCTACACAATGGTGAGAAAAGGAAACTGTTCTCACATGGTTCAGTGCCCTAACCACCTACTACTGAAAGATATAATCAGGCATAAATTTGAACAAACTTCCTACTTTGCTTTGCAAATGAGACTTGGCTAAAGGTTGGGGGTATTCTGCTGTCTGTTTTGTCTGTCATCTACTACCATAGATCTTCATTAAACTTTACAGTATTATTGATTATCTCCAGATTGTTCTTGGAGGTGGGAACTGAGATAGAAATAACTATAGTGTCAACTCTTGAAATGTATGCTATAAATGTTAATTCTTGTTCTTGCATTGCTGACAATGGAATGCCTCTATTTGCTTGGATATCTCCACAGAGGTTATGGCCTTGAGTAGCCACCCCCAATTAAGTGTCCTTCAGATGCACTGGACTGTAGCCCCCATCACCTGACACAACATAGGACACTGGAAAGATGAAAAATGTAGTCCAACAAAATGGGAAGGTATCAAATTGAAGAAAGTTCACATAGGAAATTGCCAAGAGCCACAGCTGTATTTTCCATTGTCTTGCTTGAAAAACATTTGCTAGCATTTCTCATTGCATGCAACAAATTGTTAGCACATTAGACAGACAGAGTATTCTCTTTATGGACATAGTTTCATTATTATCAATATGATGAGAGCAACTATATAAATGCCCCCCCAGCTTGTAAATAAATAGATGAAGCTGGCCAGTCAGTTTAGTCTCCATTGTATACCTCTCTTTCTCCCTTTCATTTGTTTTTATCTAGTTTCTGATAATGAGCATTAAGTGGGAATTCTCTCTTTTTAAAAAGATCTGCATGATGAGTAATAGTGGCATAATGAGTAATAGTTTGTTGTTGCTGGTACCCAAAGATCACAGGAGTTTGTACTTGTCCACTTGCATTTTTGACTAAATTTTCTTTATATTGTCTTTTCCACATGCTATATCCCAAACTGTTTTAAAAAGTCCCCTCACTCTCAAAAGCAGTTTGCCTGTGGCATGGAGAGCAAATGTTTAAGGAAAACACATTTAAAAATCCCCTGGTGCTTTGATGATGTTTATAACAAATGGCTCATGGAAATAGCTCTTCAGATTCTTGTGATCTTGGACTATGATTTTAAATAGTTTGCCATTTGTTAGATCTGCAAAGATCCCTCCTTGTTTATTTACAAAGTGTAAGTTGGTTTGTTCAACATCTGTAGATCTATTGATCAATGCATTATATATAACCTTAAAAATGTAAGTAGCTAGCATTCACTCATAATGCTAAGTCACAATCCCTAGTTTGTCCTAGCTCACTGTCAATGCACTCTAGCCTTTCCACAAGTAGATAAAACTAAATGGGATTGTGATACTCAAAACTGAGATTCTGGTTTATTGCTCCTGACCCAAACAAGCTAGGATCAAGAATGAATAATAAGTCATTGGTGTTGCTTTAGAAATCCTGACTTGTTTAGGAGCAACAGACCGAGACATGTTAGTGGACATCATGATTAAACCAACAGTAGTTACTTTTAGTTGCATGTGTAAAAAGAGGAAACAAAGCACAAATTAATCAGTTGCATGTGTACACTGCTAATTCAAGCTAAGATAAATGAGAAGATCTGGTTTATTGTTAGGTATGAGCATGCATTTATTATTGTACACTCCATGATTTAAGTGTGAAGAATTGGAAAAAGGGGGGATTTGAAGCTGTGGTTTGCATGCTCCTGTCTCAAGCTGCCTGTTGAAGTTTTCTAGTCTACACACTTGTTTACTTGTTGAAAGAACCTTTAGTATGCATATGGCAAGTTCTTAGTATGTAAAGGGCTCTTAATCATGGGTTATGCATATGGCAAGTTCTTAGTATGTAAAGGGCTCTTAATCATGGGATGGTCTGGAGACTAACCCCTTTCCTCTGTGTTCATTTTGTTTTGTTATTTATTTTCATAAAGAAAAGCCAAGAGTTTAAGTCACAGAAATCTTAGAATTATTGAGCCCCAAAGGATATTTCGAGCAGCCTCCCACAACCTAGCACCCTCGATATGGGTTGAACTTCAGCTCCCAGTAGACATGCTTGCTAAGGGTGATTGGAGTTGTATCCCAAGCACCAGGCACCAGGATGCTGCTGGCTGGAGGCAGACTCAGATATGGTCAAAGACCAAGTACAGATTAGATTTTATAATCTAATAGCAGGTATTGTGACAGGGCAAAAGCCAAATCACCAAAGCTCTGCAAAACTGAAACAAGAAACAAGCAAACTTGAAATAAAGTATGGTTTAAAAATTGCTCCAATTTCATTTGCATGTAAAAAGAAATATGATTGTTTTGTGTATGTTGTACTGCGCCCTGGTGGCGCAGTGGTTAAATGCCTGTACTGCAGCCACTCACTCATAAATCACAAGGTTGCAAGTTCAATGCTAGCCAGGGCTCAGGCTTGACTCAGGCCTGCATCCTCCCAAGGTCACTAAAATGAGTACCCAGCTGTTGGGGGGGAAATAAGCTTACAGTTGTAAACTGCTTAGACACTCCATAGTGCGGTATGAAGTGGTATATGAATGAAACTGCTTTGCTTTGCTTTGCTGACACAAGGATACTTAGGTATCCTGCCTTGACAGCTGGAATTCAGGGCATGATTTAATGAGAGGTAACAGGGATTATGACTTGAGCGCAGACAGAAAAAAATGGATGGTGAATCTGAGCAAGGTGTGATGTTCATGTGTTTCTGAATTTATTTAAGGTGTTGGTTCTTACTTTAAAAAACTGTATGTAGCCCAGGCTTGGACCAATTGGAGAAAAGTCTATTTCTACATATGTGCCTTCTAAGAGCTTTCCTGGTAGGCAATCTTGAGCTCCCTGCCAGGAGAGGCTTGATTGTTCTGCTCTTGGTCAAAGTCTTTGTTTGGACAGACAAATCTTTGGCTTAGAAACTGGGCTGTAGCTTTTGATGAGGCATCTTAATGAACACAGGGAAGAGGTTTAGGAGCCTTTGCTGTGGACAGCATTCTTTTGCATTGGTGTCACAGCTCCCCACCTCTCTTTTGTTGTTGTTGTGTGCCTTCAGGTAGTTTCCAAATTATGGTGATCATATCATGGAGTTTTCTTGGCAAGATTTGTTCAGAGGAGGTTTGCCATTGCCTTCCCCTGGGGCTGAGAGGGTGTGACTTGCCCAGGTTCACCCAGTGGGTTTCATGGCCAATCTGGGAATCGAACCCTGGTCTTCAGAATCCTAGCCCAACAATCAAACCACTATGCCATGCAGGCTGCCTCCTACCCCTTAGCCATCTGCTAAATTTCAGTTGGTGGATGAATCCAAAACAAGATATCTGTCAATGTCTAGAGTAGCTGGACACATACCGTATATGAGCAGGATAGCTAGGGACATATATGAGCAGAAAGTTTGGTCTCCCAGACCACAGAAGTCAACCATACCCAGTCTAGGTTATTGGATTATTGCTGTCTGGCAAAAGGTTGGTCACAGCTGTCCAAGGGCTAGTCTACATCTAAATGTATTGTGTGAATTGCTGTAGATTTTCACACGTTTGTACCCACGCTTCATTGTTTTCACTTTCCTGCACAAATTCCAATCTATTTACTGTTCCTCTGCCAAAAATGGGCAGTCATGCGAATCCATGTGAAACAGACAGTTATACATTTGATAATGCTCATCCTTGCAGATACTCTTGTAAAAGATGCAATTCTTTTTTCTGAGGAGTTTGAGGAGTTTCACCCCCCCTGCAAAAAAACCACACCTGAATTCCTCCAAATCACATGTGGAGGGATTGCATTCAATTTCAATAGAATGAGGAATATTTTGATCATGTAGACAAGTTGCTAGTAAGGACAATTCTCATTTTTTTTAAAGTAATGAGTAATTGCGCTATTTTACTTTTAATTAAGCATCCATCTTTGGCTTTGCATGTAAAATTCTTAAATTATTTAACAATGAAATGACATCTGTCAACCTCAAAATTGTGCTAAGTCTGTGGATTAGATACAGATTTTTTCTCAATTGTTTATTTTGTTGATAAAATATAATTGTGTAAAGCCTTTGTTGCCAACTACAGTGGGCATTTACAAAATATTTTGTAAATATAAGTATACAGTTGTCCCTTCCTTTTTCCTGCCCCAAAACCCCAGAAAACTGCAAATATTCAAGCCCCATGGGCTTGAATGGGGCACGTGCCTGTGGGCGCCCGTAGGTGCACCCTGCAGCCATGCCCTCATGTTATCCCCCTCCGTTTCCTGCCCGCAAATGGGTGAAGGATGCGGATTTGAAGTCTGTGAAAATGGAGGGGCAACTCTAGTAACATTCTCCTGATCTCCAGCCTAAACTGGCACTAGTAGTTTCAGCAATCCATCAAGGATAAAATATAAATGTGTGTTCAAATGAACAAACTTGTAGAAACTTATTTCTCTCATTGGCTTTATTCCCTTGGGTCTGCATGTCAGTGGCAAGTGAGGCCACAAAGTTGATAGGTCTAGCTCCCCCTTTCTTTATGCCTTGTGCTCTTTTTCTCCCCCCTTCTCCACCGTACCCAGTGGGCTGATGGAGAAGGGACTGATCTGATCTGATCATCTGAACTGATCACTTGCAAACAGCTCTTGAAACTAGACTGAGGAACCCATGTGAAACAGTTAAGAGATTTTCGATACCCAGTCATTAATCAAAATGGAGATTGCATTCAAGAAATCAGAAGGTGGCTAAAACTTGCAAGGGCAGCTATGAAGGAATAACATAAAATGCTCAAATGTAAAGATATGACATTGAATAGTCACTAAAGTCTGTATCACACCAGCCTGTTATCTTTCAGCAATAATGTTGTCAATAAGCAACATAATAATAATAAAGCAAACAGGAACATATTGGTATGAATATAATTACTATCACACTTCTCTGCAACTGTGCTGTTAGGCTGCTTTGGTGATCTATGGCCCTGCACTTGCTCTTCCACACCATCTCTTCCACACCACTAACCCTCCCTCCCTCACTCCCATGCATGGCTTTGAAATTTTTAAAATACATTCTTACAATAGAGTTTATAAAGATGTAGGTACCATAGAAATGGACAAATTGACTTGCTTGCTGAATGGTAAATCATTTGAGGAAACTGAAAAGGAATGGAAGAGTTTTATAAGGTAAGAGTAAATGAGTTGAACAAATGGTATTAAAGTTGAATGAATATTCATAAACAAAAGAAGTAACTTCTCAGGAGAAATTTCAATAATCTAATAATATTTGAAGCAACAACCCCCTCACACACATTTAAGTTAGAAGTAGAAAAAGGTAAACCGATGCATTACACCAAACATACTATAATTTAGGAAGGACAAACAATGTCACTATAACCTAGTTAGTTATTAATTGACTTGAATCATTTAGAATTTAAGAACGGGGGACTGAAAATACACTTTGCTCATTTATTTACTGTAAAACAACTGTGTAAGACAACAATGCTATAATTTTAATACTAAGTGGGGAGGGGCTAGGGTTGATGATGTAATTTAAAATTATTAAAAATTATTTAATTTTAAATTTGTTTATTTGTTATTTATTATTTTTATTGTTTATTTTTGCTACGATTGCTCGAGTACAGAAAAATGATTTTTAAAAATTAGAAGAAAAGAAATAGAAAAGAAAATGAAATTGAAAATGAAGTAAAAGCCTGCTTGGGAATAGTGAGGGGGAGAGAAGGAGAATCGCACACACTCATGCCACGTGACTGTAGTGGAAGGGACCTATTGCACCAGAAGCAGTTGTGGAAAAGCAGTGATATTAGGAACCATTGATGGGTTTTCCCCATCAGTGAAAAGGTATGTTTCACCAACAACTGAAATGTAAAGCAGCACCAGGAGAGGCACAAGAGCATGTGACAAACACCAACTAAGTACACTATTATGCTGCTGTAATTACAATTTACCAGCCTTGTGTGATAAAGTACAAAGTCAGATTCATCCATGCCTTAATATTTCTAATTTCTATGTATTGTTCTGAAAGACAGAAAGTGAAGAAAGCTGACAGGAAAGAAAATCAACTTATTAGAAATGAGGCGTTTGAGGAAAGTTCTATAGATACCATTTGTCTCTCTCTCAGAGAGATACATAAATGGGTCTGAGAGCAAATTAGGACTGAATTCTCATTAGAAGCCAAAATTACTAAACTGAGGCTATCATGTTTTTGAAACAACATGATCCATTGGAAAAGATGGTAATTATTGGTAAAAGAGAAGGCAGCAACAAAAAGGAAGACTGCATTACAGGTGGATTGGAGGAAGCCACATCCCTAGGTTTGCTAGACCTGAGGTGGGCTGTTGAGATCTGGGACTCTTGAAGGTCTCTCATTCACAGGGTCACCATAAATCGCTCCCAAGTGTCCTTTCCAACCCACTCCAAATCATAAGCCATGGTATACATCAGAGCTTAGGAAAATGAAGCGGGTTGGACAACGACTAGAGCGCAACTGGTGGAAAACTCAACTCTTATCTGACAGAACTCATCATAGGAACTTCCTTTGGTCCTATCAAGAGGCAATACATGCAGCTCAGAGATCCTTCTGTTCTGCATGTATTACATCTGCAGAGTCCCATCCAGCAGAGCTGTTTAGGGTGGTAAGGGAACCGACGCAGGTTTCTCCTGAGCAGAACCCATTACTTAACCCGACAATGGCCTGCTGTGACACGTTTAACAATTTCTTTGCAGATAAAATCTCTCAGATAAGAGCCGACCTAGACACCAGCATTTCCACAGAAACAAGTGATGAGGTGTCTAGCAACTCCGTTAGTGAAATTATCCTAGATCAGTTTCAATCTGTGAGTACTGATGACATGGATAAGCTCCTTGCTAGAGTGAGGAAAACAACCTGCCCTCTCGATCCTTGCCCATCATGGCT